TAGTGAGATGCTGTCTCAAAAAAAAAAAAAAGAAAGAAAGAAAGAAAGAAAGAAAGATAAGGGGTGGTGCTTGTAGCTCAAGTGGCTAAGGCACCAGACACATACAGCAGAGTTGGCAGTTCATATCCGGTCTGGGCCTGCCAAACAATGACAACTACAACCAAAAAATAGCAAGGCGTTGTGGCGGATACCTGTAGTTCCAGCTACTTGGGAGGCTGAGGCAAGAGAAGCGCTTAAACCCAGGAGCTTGAAGTTGCTGCGAGCTGTGATGCTACAGCATTCTACCCAGGGTGATAGCTTGAAGCCCTGTCTCAAAAAAAAAAAAAAAAAAGAAAGAAAGAAAGAAAGAAAAAGAAAGGAAAAGAAAAAGAAAAACCCTTAAATTCCTGGTCTTCTCTAGATCCTAAAATTTTAGGATCTATACACTCTACATCTAATGTGGCAACCAGATTTGACTGAACTAAATGAAAGGCACATTTAAACTCTTGATGTTCCAAAGACTTTCTGGGCTTATGAGCAGTTTCCTTAATCTCCTTAAACTACAAATTTTCCATCCAAAGATTTAATATTGAATTCCATGCAACTGTTGAACAGTATTGATATAGACTTTATGGATGTTGTTCAAATTATATTTGTAAACTGAAAATGAAGACTTTAAAATAAAATTGTAATGTCAAACTTTATGTATACATAAACATATATTGTGTGTGTGCATGCATAGAGAATCCAGAACTTATGCTAACTGACAAAATGGGAAGGGATGGAGGTTAGAGACACCCACTGAGGTGATAAGGCACAGGGGTGGCAATTCCAGCTGTAGCTGCAGGAAGTAATAGGAAGAGGTCCTAAGGCATACGCTGACCCTGACCCTGACCCTGACCCTGGCCGCTAGTACTCAAAGAAATTACCTGGAGGGACTTGTGAAAAGCAGATTCTGGGGTCTTGCCTTAAAGGATTTTGATTCATTAGGTTGGAGTAGAGCTCAGGAATCTGCATTTTCACAAGCTCCTTAGGCATGTCTGTGTCTTCTGATTAACAAGTCATTCTATGAAAAGCTCCAACAGGGTCTGTAGTTCAGGCCAGCAATTCCTATCATTGGTGTCCAGCAAAGAATGGAATCTTGGTAGGAATACAAACGTTGAAAGAGGGTTGAAGGTTCAGGTAGGCAGGATAACAGGCTGTATTAGTTTCCTAGGCTGACATACAAATTACTACAACCTGGGTAGCTTAAAACAAGAGAAATTTATTATATCACAGTTCTCAAGGCCAGAAGTCCAAACTCAAGATGTGTGACAAGGCTCTGCTCCCTCTGGAAGGACTAAGATAGATTGGTTATAGCTTCTGGTAGCTGTCGGCATTCCTTGACTTGTGTTTGCTCACACCAATCTCTGCCTCCACCTTTCTCCTCCTCTCTGTGTGTCTCTCCTCTGAGTGTCTCCTATAAGGACATCTGTCATTGGATTAAGGGGACACGCCCATATAATCTAGAATGATTTTATCTCAAGATTCTTAGCTTAGTTGTATCTGCAAAAACCCTTTTCATCCCCAAATAAGGTTACAATCACAGTCTTAAAGTGGGTCCTATGGACCATCTCCTAGTTCTCTGGAGCTTAGAATGTAGACATATCTTTTGGGAGGCCACCATTCAATCAACCACACAGGCATATTATAGCACAAGTAGCTGCCTTGGGCCACAGTCAGAGCAAGGAAAAGGGGATGATAGTTGGCAAGAGCAGACTGGCTGTAGTGCTAGAGGGACTCCTCTTCAAGGGAAGGTGAAGAGGGTTCAGACTTAGGACAAAGAAGCTGGCCACTAACAGATGAACAGGTGGGATGAACCTGCTTTATGTTATTATCCTGAATTTCTCAATCAGGATTCTGTAATTCCTACTAACTAGGATATGACTGTACTCTTAGTCTGGGACAAGGCTAAGCTACCCCAGCATATGAACATCCAACAGCTCTAGGAAGATCAGAGACGGGGAGTGAGACTGGACTACAAAGAGCTGCAAAGCATGACAACACATGTAAGTAAATAGTTACAATCTCTTGAGCACCTACTATGTGCCTGGAACTTTATGTTTATTATTGCTCATTTCCATCATAACCTCGCAATATAACTATTGAAATTTGGGTTCCCATTTAATATATAAGAAAACAGGCTTTTGGAGATTAAAATGATATAGTTAGTAAGTGGCAGAGCCAGGATCTAAACTTGGATTACTCTGATTTCAAAGCCCACTTTCTTTCTACTAAAACATGCTACGTCTTCCACAAATTAATAGCCTACCTTAAATTTTACATCTTTTCTTCTTCTTCTTCTTCTTCTTTTTGAGACAGAGTCTCACTCTGTCATCCAGGGTAGAGTGCTGTGGCGTCATAGCTCAGCAACCTCGACATCTTGGGCTTAAGTGATCCTCTTGCCTCAGTCTCCCAAGTGGTTGAGACTACAGGCGCCTGCCACAATGCCTGGCTAGTTTTTCTAATTTTAATAGAGATGGGGGTATCTATTTTGGTCAGGCTGGTCTTGAGAAAAAAATATAACTTGAGTAAAATAGAATGATAAATATTTCAAGCTTTCTAAACCAAAATCCCAGGTGTGGGTCAGGGGTGTGGATACTTGCTTTCTTGTGACCATGCCATATTTATTTTATAGCAATCACTCATGGGAAGAGATTCTGTGCACAGTCCCAGCATCACCTGTAATTGTAAAATGCAGGTATGTTGCCCCTACTCCCTCATGATCCCTACTACCATCAGCAAAGGCATGTTCACAGAGACAATCTGCATATGGCAATATCCAAGTAGGAACAGTACTAGTTTTCTCTGTAGGTACTCACAGTGGAAAGCAATATAGATGGAACAAGATCAAGGGAAGTGCTAATACAGTGGACCCTCTGTAAATTGACCATCCAAAGGAATGTACCAAACTAGTCAACATATGGAGGTGGTCAGCATAAGGAACTAGGCCTATTGTACTGATACATACATGTGGTGCATGTCTGGTCTATGAAAATTAGATCAACTTGAGGTGGTCAATGTAGGGAGGGGGTCAACTATAGAGGTTCTACAGTCTATTACATCTCTAGCTCAACCAGGAATTAATGTCCTTTGAATACCCCTTAATCTGCGCTGAAGATAGTATCAGTTCTATCAGTGTCAACAAATGTGTGGGTACTAGGCCACGGATCCTACACTAGTTTGAATGCAAGACTAAAATATACCTGAGCCTGATGAAAGGTTTAATAGTACTTTTAACTCATCCTATTTCAAAAAAGGTAACAGGACTAAAGTATTGAGGAGTCCTGGTCTGGAGTGACATATCTTGCCAGGCCTTTCATAGAGCTCTGAATATGTGAGTTTTGAGAAATTAATACTGTTACTAATAATGAAAGAGAAAGGGATCAAGGTATTGAAACCTTCATGACCCCAGCAGCTGTTTTGCACAAAATTCTCAGTGATTAGAGCTCTAAATGATGACCTGGTTATTGTATGTATACCTTTCTCTACTCTCCCGCAGGAGTAGAAATAGGAACAATTTTCAATTTTAGGACCCATGAACCCCTGAATCAATACAGAAGTTAGTTTGACAATCATTACATAATATTTTTCTGATGACAATTTCTAGTTTACAAAAATATACATATTTTACAATATTTTTGTACTGGTTTGGATCGTTGTGTTTGCTCTCAGAGAAATTCTTAGGAAACCAAATCTATAAAGTGCTCTCACCCAGGCGTGAAGTGTTCGTTGGGGTCAAGATGTCATTGTGGGAAGCGTGTACTTCCTCGGATTAGGGCTTGGCGGATTAGAAACCGGCAGATCAGTTCGAGGTTAGCCCTGATTAACTGCCCTGGGTGCTTCTGGGCCAGAGGGGGTGTTTGCTGGACTCAAACCAATACTCGTGGCAAGACTTCACTTGACAAAAAAGTTAATTTTTACTTAAACCCAATCCGGGCTAATAATGAAGCTACCAGGATGATCTGGAATGTTAACTAAATGGTGCCCGCAATCACGTCTGCCCAGAACCTTCTGCCCCCACGATTCTATCTGCCCACATGCTTCTGTCTGTCAGCCTGGGCCTCCGGATCAGCTCTCGCCGTGCCATTGGTTGGATGGATTTCAGAAAGGGAGAAACCCATGATTTAAAGGGCTCCTTTTCCACCTGCCAGGCATCGTCCGCATGGTCCAACTTGCCTTTGGCACATATTTGGAAGAAGCTCCTGCTGGTATTCACATATACACTGACAGGTCAAAGAAAAGAGTTCCTTAAAGCGTACCCTTGGTCACCTTGACAATTTCCAAAAGCGAAACTTGCGCTCTAGACTAGAGCAACACTGAGTCTGCGGGGTGCGGAGTCCCTGCCCAGGTCAGTAGCGACAGCCTGCCGGTGGGCGGGGACAGAGGCGGGGTCTAAGTCAGGCGTGGTCTGCCGTGGGAGAGAAGGAAAGGCTTTGCTCCACCCACTAAAAAACCTTGCTTTGCTCCCAGCCAATCAAAGGGGTCTATGCAAATAGAGACCCTGTCGTCCGGGTAACCACGATGCCCAGCAGCCAATGGAAACCAGCAAGTTGTGGCCCTGCTCCGTGATTGGAACTAAAGTGAGGGCATAGAGGCCCAATGGGCTGTGGGAACGGTCCTCGGCGGGTTGAGGGGCGGGGATATGCAAATGTAGTTTGAAAAGCCGGCGGGAAATCCGAGTTTCGCGGGAGGACCTTGGCGCGTAAACCGTATCCCTTCATTCATTGTCAGCAGCAGCTTCCTGGAGCCATTTTTCAGCTGCCGGCCGCAGCACCCGGGCTGCCGCCACCGCCTCGCAATCCGTTGCATCGGCCGCCCCCGACGCCTCCATCTCCTCTCGGGGCCCGATATCCGTGCGGCCGGGACCCTCCTCTCTCCAGAGCCCCGATTATTTTTGGCCCCCGGGGTCTGTGCGGTGCGGAAAAATTAAAAGAAAGAGAGAGAGGGGGCTCGGAAGCGCCGGGCGGAGAGGAGAGAAGGAGCAGAGACTTGGAAACTCCGACTGCAAATAATAAAGAAATTGAAAACAATACATTAATATACCGTAACACTAAAACGAGCAGGAGCGAAAGATGAGAAAGGGGATCCAGCCCGGCCTGGAGCAGTACCTGGTGACCGCCGGGGGTGGGGAGGGGGCGGCTGTCGTCGCCGCCGCCGCTGCAGCCTCCATGGACAAAAGGGCACTGCTAGCCAGCCCGGGCTTCGCCGCCGCTGCCGCCGCCGCCCCGGGCGCATACATCCAGATCCTCACCACGAACACTTCCACCACCTCCTGTTCCTCCTCCCTCCAAAGCGGTGCCGTTGCCGCCGGCCCCCTCTTCCCCAGTGCCCCCGGCGCGGAGCAGACCGCCGGCAGCCTTCTCTACACCACGCCGCACGGACCCTCCAGCAGAGCCGGGCTGCTGCAGCAGCCACCAGCCCTGGGACGCGGCGGCAGCGGTGGCGGCGGCGGCCCTCCGGTAATACCTCCCTCCCCACCGTCCCCAGCCTGGGCGGGAGGTGGGCTCGCACAGCGCGGGGTGGTGGGCGCGCTGCGGGCAGCCCCGGGAGTGCGCGGGGCCGAGCATCGTGGGCCTCAGAGGCGGCTGCCAGTCCAACCAAGGCTTATTGTTAGACTTGTGTGCTCCCCCCCAGCGCCAGGAGGGCCGGGGGGCTCGGCCAGCCGTGCTGGGCGGCGGGGATTGCCTTGGCGCGAACCACATCAAACACTCCAAAACTTTTCGCGGCCCCCTCTTCTTTTCCTGCACTTTTCCCTACCCCCACTTTCCCTTCCCCTCCAACTCGAAGCTTCCTCTTTCTCGGGCGTAGGAAGGGGTCACGCCCCGGATGGAAAAGGGGTGGAGGAGGGAGTAGTGAACTGGGGAGTAGGGGGCTTTGGGGGCTGGAAACCTGGGAACTGTTGGGGTGTTAGCCCGGGTCGGCCTCTGAGACCAGTTGGCGGCCAGGGGTCCCTGAGGCGTGCTCGGAGTGCAGAGGCTTCGCTGGGCTGCGCTTGACACATTTTGGGAGCTGTAACTCGCGGCAACAAAGGGGCTGGAGGAGGTGGAGGGGCATCGGGGTGGGGGAAGGTAGAGCTGGAAGCCGAGTGCGGGCTGGGGCGTGGGCTGTCTGGGTCAGGGACTATGGGCTGGCGCTCCGGCCTGGGCGCATTCTGGCGGTGGCAGCGGCAGCGCCCGCGTGGCCCGAGCGCCCAGGCCTTCCTCGCCGGGCCCCGGGCCTGCCCTTGACCCGCCTCTCCCCTTGCCCCTTCCTTCCCCGCCCTGTCCCCCTCCCCGCCCCCCGGCGACGGAGGGCGGGGGCAGCCGGGTTCCCGTCCCGCCGCCTGGGTCTGTCCCTCTACCCGGGACCCGCCGGTGACGTTTCGCACACGTGCGCGGAGGACGCGCCTGTGACTGGGGAGGAGGAGGCGGCGGCGGGAGGGGGCGC